CTGCCATATCGCGCCATCGGCCCCTCTGGCCCCCTTTAAATGTTTCACAAACTTTCTTTGGCTTCCCACCATTTCATGCTGCTTCATAAAGCTGGGAGTTCACTTATTGTTGACACAGCATTTGATTTATAGCAAGCTGCTGTTGGTAGCATTAGGCTTCTTAAAGTTAGGATACTTGTGGAAAATAATTTGGAAAGAAAACTGGTGAATTAGAGGAAAAATAAAGGTCAGAGCTGAATAAAGAGGCAGTGCTTGGCTCCTCTCTAAAAGCAGTTTGTGGCTTTGCAGCTTGCAAAATAGGTACAATGTCAACGTAATGGCAAGTTTTCTCAAGACCCCTGCTTTAACTCATGTGCAAACTTGAAACAGACTCCAACCAACTTTCAGGGACCTGTAGCTCCAGATAATATCACCATAAGCAAAAAAGAACACATATTGGAGAATAGCATTAACAAATAAACAAGAAAACCCAGAACACTCAAAATCATCTTTGAACCATACCTGCTTTTTGGCAGCATCTACTAACAAGGAAAGAAATGCTTCGGGGTTAGATTAGAGGGGTTTTAGGATGGATGGACAGAAACATGTAAGAGTTTTTAATAATTGAGTCATTGCAACATTGGAGAAACCACATGCTCAGCTATGAATGAAACAAATACACAACCTAATTAGCAAAAACATACACAAACAATTTACGTAACCATTCCCAGAGTTGTGTTAAAGATAGTGGTTTACAGGTGATATGCAAACCACATGAAAAGTAACTCTACTATTCATTGTTCATCAAGATGAAAACTCTCTTCAGTCAATGCATTAATCATTACACTCAAAATAGGCTGCAAATGCAAAAGGAAAAGACAGTTATGCAACTTAAATCCACGACCACTGAACTCCCCCAAAGATGCAAAGCATCACTTTTGCAAGTTACTTTTTACTTCAGGTGTTTGTGAGTGATTCAGTTTATGTATACTTATTTTAAAAAAGATAAAGACAAAGTTATAGAGATCAGCTTAGTGCAATATGTATGGACTTAAAATTAGTTTCTATTTCATGTGTACAGCGATAACAGCACTAATATTTGCTCACAGCCATTCATGCAGCTCCACCTTTGCTTTTGTCTAAAGCCGGATTCCTGAGAGAAAAGCTATAGAGGATGTAGAGACACACCCTCTCTTTCTCCACAATGTCAAAATCCACGTTTAAAAAGAGCAAACACGAAGAACAGAAAATTAATCAAACAGCGATATCACAGACAAGAGCCAAACTCATAAAGTGACCACTGAAAAAGGGCCAGTGCTTCTAGATTAATCTGGTTTTATTTTTAATATTTAGCTAAAGTCTTTTTCTTCTCAGCACTGTTGGTGTTTATTCTGCCTGCAGCACGCTCCAGTTCTGAATTAACAACGCTGTTAATTCAGTGATCATTATTCCTCACTAGCAAACCTGTCAAAAATGGCTGTTCATTACCATCCTGATGTGATCACCCATATCACAGTTGCTGTTTGGTGATGCCCCTTTATAATCTGCAGATTTATCTTTGTTTGAATGAACCAAAAATATTTGTTTGAAGTTGCACACGTTATAGTTTTGCGATTTCTAATTGCTTTCATTTTTATTTTGTTTTGACTTTTTGTTTTTAATTTGAGCTCAGTTTCCAGAATGGCTTTGCTCATTTCTCTTGAGTTTTCATTTGCTCAGTCAAATGTTTGGTTTTAATTTAGTTTTTAATTTTAGAGTTCGCTTTTGGTGACTCAGTCTTCTGAACATACAAAGTCTCAATGAATGACCTTCAAAGACCTTCTCAGGCTCTGAACAACTTTTTTAATTTTTCAGCTCAAATGTTTTTTCACAAGTAGTTTTTAAAAGTAAAAGTTTACTTTTAGTTTAGTTTTGCACATTAATGGTGCAACTTTGCGTCTCACTCTCCTCTGAAAGCACTTTTCATGGATAAGTGGGAGGAAGTGGCCTTTGAACATAGTCCTATCAGAGTTTGCGCTCTACTGTAGCTGGACTGTTTGTATGTAGAGGTGAGGTAAGGTGGTGGTGACTGAAACAACCTCTGATAAGAGCGGCTGGGAGTGTCCGAGCAATATCTTTGGGAAACATTCAACACGCTTACACCACCGAACACGTGACATGGTCTTCACACTGTTTGCAACTATAGGCCAAAAATCACAGGGGAAATGTTTTACAACAGTAAGCTAGTTTGCCCTCCTTCACAAGTGATCGCTCTACTATGAGCTCTACTAGCTACAAGAGCACAATTTGTTCGGCAGCTCGCTGGAAAATGAAGCCAAGGCAGTAGCGTCACACGAATTTGTGCAATTCCCCTAAATGGCCACTTAACGCTTGCCCTGAAGGCAAATCAGTGTCTTTAACTTCTGTTAAAATGCCCAACTTTCCATTTTTTGTGTTCTATGTTCCAGGTATGTGTTTTTCCTCCTTTTGTTGTTTCTTACAGGTGCAGCAGCTGGAAACACATTGTGCTTTTCTATTTGTGCTGCATCGTTTTATTATATTTTCTTCCCCCTGTCAGCTTAGACTTTGTCATATTACACATAAAATAGAAAAACTGAAATAATACTTGAAATGAATAAATAAACAGATAACGCCCAACTTTAAACATTTGATTTTAAACTTTACAGCCAGTTTCCCTTGAATTTTTATATACCTCACCTGTTTAATTTGTAAAATGGTTAAAACATTAATTATTAACAGCATGACCACTTGGTCTGAAAGGTGAATACTGTCAGTGACCGGCCTCACCTCAGCTAAATCGAGTCACAAAACTTGACTTCTTGACTGTTTGCATGTTGTTGCCTTTTGGAACATTTTAATGCAATTTTTGCTGAAGTTAAGATGTCAAGTAGGCTTTGTGTGCGGTAAAGCCCGTCCTAGAAGTTTGCCTCTAGTATAAGTGGCTGAAAAGTTAATATTTTAATAAAAATCTGTTACTTCACACAAATATAGTACCTATATTTGCAACATGTAATGCCTTGCTAATCAAGTTTGCTTGTATTGGCTGAACTTGGCCATATTTGAACAAGACAATATAAAGCTACAAACAAAAATTTAAGGGTTCAAAACCAGGCTTCCCAAATCAGTGCACACCGTGAGGGCGCATAACATAATAAGAAGCATAAATTCTATTTGTTCTTGCACTGTGAAGACTGAAAACTCACTGTAGGATCTGCAGTGGATCCAAATATATTCAATATCTTCCTTCTGCAGTTGTAGTAATAAACAGTCTTCCTTTCACATACTAATTAACGGCATGTTTGATTTAGACACACCCAGCAGAAGTAACAGAGCTGTGATGATGAATTGGCATAACTATTTATGTTAGCACAAATCTGTCATCTTTACAAGGCTTTTTGCTGAAATATTCAAATCCTGGTTGTGTGCGAGACTTTCGTGTGATTCATCATAAGAAGCATGTCACAACTTGGCTGCCTTTGTAAGTGAGAACCAAATGCTATTAACTTGGATTACTGGATACATTTCTGAAACAGGTGAAACATTTCTATATGCCGTGACTGCATACGAATGTGATATTTCAGCTTCACAGTAATGTAGATACAGTCTCACATCACATGACATTTTTCATAAACACGCTACACGTTGTGTTGCAAGCTGAACAAACCCACACCCTCAGTCAGAAATAGCTTCGTTACAGCTAAATACAAATTTATTCTGAAAAACATGAGTGGCCTGCAGGTGTGATATGCAAACTATACTGTAAAACGTGTTACAGCTACAGTGACCTACACATATTTTTGGACTATCGTGCTCCACACAAACCTGTTCTGACAGCAGCCTGGTACATTTGTTTGGTATCAAAAAAAAGAAGGAAAAAAAGACAAGTGTGACAAGTTTCTATACCCAGTGCACCTGCACTGCTGGAAACTGAAAGCTCACCAACCACACATAGGAGGTTAAAATAATTTTGCTGAGCTGCAAACATAGGGTTGAAAAATGCCTACATATGCTTATATCTATTCTACACCTTGAAATAGAACGATGTACGGTACATCCTGTGGGTTTTTTTTTTTAACTGTGCTGCTTTTTGTATGCAATGGTGAAGCATCATGCAAAACATATCAGTCTGTTCTGTGTAGGAAAATTAACACGCAGTGACTGATAGAAATAGAAGTTTTGACAGTGTTTTGCAGATTGCACCAAAACGTATGGGAGCAAAGTTTTAAACAGTCCTGCTAATCTCTCCAGGCTTCTCTACCTTGATCAATCTTTCACAAAAGAAATGCAGCACATGTCCTTGGGTGCTCTGACCACACAGGTCAATACAATAAGCCCACCACTTTAAAAAAAGGAAAAGAAAACAAAAGGCAACTGCTCGTTTCCCTCAATTCTTATAAGTTGGAGTAGGACATCACTTCTAAATTTTAAACATGAGCCAAACAGCTTCTAGACTGTATATCTGAAAAAATGTCAGTTTTCTTCTCTTCCCCCTATCAACAAGGGTAACACTTATCTCTGAGTGACGAGCAGAGAGAGAACGCAACCAATGAGACAAAGGTATGAAAAGACCAAACTGATTGCTTGGGTTAATATTTGAAGGTTCAGCACACAATCTAAGCTGGAGTAGCTGAAGCTGAGGTCTTGGGCGACCTGAATGTACATCAGCATGTAAATGAAAACTGTGGAATGTTACACGCTGGGTATAATAATCCCAGGAGCGTCACTGCTTCAAAATTTCAGAAGGAATTAAATAAGCAATAAAAACAAGAACGCTAAAACCCAAACAGACCTGCAATCAGACCACAACAGCACAAACATTAACACCAACATATTGCTTCACCGTGATAATGAGAGGTTTTTAAAGTACTACTACTGGAGGGGCAGGAATACTGCATGCAGTCTAAATACACACTCCTTTCAAGGGTGGTTGGAAAAAACATGTTTGGCAACATAAGCACTTTTGCCAACATATACCTCCAGACAGTGGGGACCAAGGGAGGAAAAATTACATCTTGGTCATAAAGAAGTGTTGTAACCAGGTGCTAAAGATGAAGCCCACAACCTGAAAGCTTCCACCCTCCTGTCTGTGCTGCTGCCTAAAACAGAGGTGCGGTCCCAGGTAAACACTCTGCTTTCCAGATGTCTACAGCATACATGAGGCCTGGGCAAGACTAGACCTGCGACGACTCCTCATCTCCAGACGCCTGAGGCTCTGCCCCATCATAGCTCTTGAGCTCCTGCAAGCCATCAGCAGAGTTTCACTGTCAGGGCTAAACCAATGACACATCTCAACCAGGTGGAACACCACTTTTAAAAAACAAAAAGATCATGTGGGAAATTTGACACTCTTACTCTAGCTTACAGCTTAATACCCAGTCAGGCTTGTCATATCGCATCACGCTCTAGGCAAAAACCTGCCAGAAGAAAGTTTTGTGGGTTTAATAAGCTTCTGGGTTTCCCACAAAATGAGCAGCTGCTGTGGTTTTCATACCCGTATGCATCACTTCAAGTTTCCCAATGCACCTGAAAAGACCAGTGAGACTAACCTGTTGCAGAACTTTGTCCAGTGGCTCAGCTTTGACGACGTCGTCCACAGTCAGCCCAGTCTCCTCTTTACACTGGTCTGTCAGCTCCAAGGTGTCCGGCTTGACAAAACATTTATGAAGCTTCCCGACCTGTGAAAGCATTTAGCGTTTCATGGCGTAGGAATACAGTTTGATGACAAAAAATATGCTAACTTATAGCAAATTAAAGGTCCCCCACATACAGGAAATGAATTGTTTAAAAACAAACAAAACAGAATTGACAATGCAGTCGCAAAAAAAAAAAAAGCACTCAATTGTCAATAAAGCGTCGTTTACATTGAGAAGCTGACATATTAAACCAAAAAGGTGTGTTTGCCCCCCATTTTTGTCTGCTTTTTTTTTTTTAAATTTGGTCGCACACCTGTTAAAAAGGTGCGCTAACGACGGGCAGTAGTAGCGTTAGCTAGCATAACAAGACAAGCGGGCTCCACACGGTTTCAGAGAGCGCACCATGTTGATTTAAATGTCAGACTCTACAGGTAGACACTATGCCACAAACACTCTGAATACATAAGAAACCGTACAACGAACGAAGGGGTCAGAAAGGTCCGTACCTTTTTCTCATGTAGATCCACAATTTGCCACACCAAGAGAATTATTTCCCTCTCATCCGAACCCAGTTTACCCCCATTTTCACCAGCTGTTGCCCCAAAGAACACCACCAGAGTATCACTGTGCGAAGCCATCAGGGACCACAAGGGTAAAAACTACAATTAAAGCAAAGATTAAAATAAAAAAAAAAACACGAGGGTTCACCTTTTCCAAGTGATAAGAAGAGCGAACAAAAGAGCTGGAAACTCAATTGAGATAAACGGAGAGAGAAAGAAAAAAAGGGGGAGATTATTTTCAGAGGAGCCACGGAAGACTTTGCGGTCAGAGACTCTACCTGTTGCAGTACTTGAGTGTGTTCTATCCAGAGATACTGGTTTAACTGGTAAAGAAGGGTGGAAATCCGTGTTTCCTTTACACGAACGCCATAACAAGCCCGGAGGTTTTTTTGTTTTTTTTTCTTCCTCGCCTTACTATTTTTTTTTCACCGAGTTACCTGTATGGCTAGGCCTTTGCTCGAGCGGAGCCCCGGGGGCGTCTTCTATTGGCTGGTTCGCAAAGGTGAGGGCGGGACGCTGAGGTAAATGTTGTGATCTCATTGGCTTATTGGTGCTGTTAAATCCGGAAGTATGTGGAAGACAAAACAGGGCGACGCTCCATGAGGCTTATGCGTACGCTGTGCAGACCACGCCGCCAACCTGCAGATGTCTCACGGTGATAGTGGAAAAGAAGTGAACAGAATCATACACGCACATAAAGGTACATTAAAGAGAAACTGAACTGCGGGACAAACTCTGTGCATTTCCATTAAAATTAGTTTTGTGCTACCTGAATTTGCAAAAAATATAATCTAAAAACAACCCCTTTATGTGCCAGGTGTTGGGCCATTTGGATCACATCTTGTCCAGACATTTGCTTTAACCCATGTCAAACTTGATCTCAAACGTGACTAGGGTAAGAACAGTTAGTTAGGGACTTCTGCTCCAGCTGTAATTCAGTGGGCACGGTGACAGAAAATACTCCAGCATGTTTATTCTCTAAAAAGGTGTTCAGACACTACATGTTTATGCCAGTGTGGAACTTTGATGCAACGAAAGTGTTTCTGCGCACAAATTCACACTTATCATTTCACTGTTTGCTTCCTTGTCTTCAGATAATGTTATTTCACTTCCAGAATGAAAACCTGTAAACATGGAGATCACAAAAAAAAAATCTATGTACAGAACAACATGCATTTGCCTCAGGCAAAAGAAAGATTTATTGCTTCTGTAGGCTTCTTAATTGTAATGTAGTTTTGGGTAAGCGGTAGTAGTAAATGCAGGGATGAATAAAGGGCAAATGGAAAAATTAAGAACAAAACAAAAGGACACATCCTGGAACTTCTACCACAAGGAAGAACAGTGGAATTAGCAATGTACTTTACATTTCCAGCTTGTGATCCATATTCTTCCCTCTAAAATCCCACTGTATTGTTATACGCTGCATGTACCTGTCAATAGAAAGTATTTGTCGCCAGAAAATTAAGGTACTTCAAAATAGCAGTGAAGTTTTCACCAGTCTTTGGCCCAGTTCCCAGAAATCCAAGGTTTTGTTGCTACTGACACTCCCTGTTCTGCCTGCTATGGGCCAACAAACTGCATTGAATGCAAGGCTTTTTGCCTTTTCATGTCCATTCACTCAAAATAAATCTCCCCTATCTCAAGAGTAATTCCTTGTGTCTCCTTTCTCATGTTGAATCACTATTTCCAGCCAAACCAGTCCGATTACTTAAGGGACACTCTGGAAAACGCTGAAATCTGAGACATATAATGATATTTCAACACAACAGCAAAGAACATTTATCCTCATTACATCATACTGAGGGCATGCTTATGCATGTAGACTGACCCGGAGAGTAAAGTCACAAGCCAACTCCTTTCAGCAGGTGTAACTGGTGAAAAAGTTGAGAAAGACAACATGTCACATTCACACTCCAAATATCCTCCTAAATAATGTGCTTTGGCATAACTTTTATCATAGGCTGTAAAGTGGATGAGCTTCCAGAAAGCCAGCGCTAAAACCTTTGACACTTCTGTGTACATTTTTTGGAAGAGATTGGCGGCTCTGATGTACCAGGTGGCAAGTCTTGTCCTGTAAGGTAAGTATGACTTAAAAGAATAGCAAAAAAACCCTGCTTGTTCATGCGGCTTTATTAGTATAAGCCAGGTTTTCTTGGAAAAACCTTCACACTACACAATATTATTATATAGCAGAGACTTAAAACCTAACTTAAATGTGGTAAGCATGCAGTAATATGCCTTATGAAAGGCAATGGGAACAGCAGGCACATACCACACTGTTGATGATGATATACAAGTTGCTTCCTCACTCTGTGAGAAAATGTCAAGCAAGTCAACTATGCTTACCAGTGTGAGCTCAGTTTTGTCACACCCTTTGAGCGTTGTAATTTTCCGCTGTCATATTCAAAATAATTCTGACTTACTCATGCCCAAACAATTAAGTGAAATGTGAATGCTCTCACATCAGATCTTGTTCATCTCATATTTAAACAGACAGAAAAATTATTAGACTGGAATGGCAGTTCTTCCAGCTGTGTGGCTTAAAACAATGAAATCACATCTATAATTGAAGGTTTTTGTGGTGCGTTTGTTCAATGACTTTGCCAAAATATGATGTTTTACAAGCTAAGTGACTTAATTCACAGAATTCACTGTATATGGCTGAGATTAAGACTTGTGGGGGCTAAATCATGAATAAACTCTGTAGATGTGTATTTTTAAAGTGGAGAAAGAATGGAAAAGCTTGGTTCCTGTTCCCACAACAGATTCATATCATGAACACTGTAACTGAGCACTCAACGTGCTTTTATACAACTTGCCTCATTCACCCAATCATACAAGCACCTCATTCCTTTGCTTTTGCCCATGTAAGTCCTCTATATCTAACATTCACACACGTATGGATGCATCAGAAAGCATCCATCTGGAGAGCAACTTGGGGTTAGTATCTTGCCCAATGATGTTTGGCATGCAAACGGGAGCAGACGGGGCTCAAACCACCAACCTTCTGATTAGCAGGTGACCTGCCCTACTTCTTGAACAACAGCCACCCTTTAAGTACAAATGTACAGAGCAACCACTGCCATCTTCTGGCCAATAAATTAATCAAAACTATTGCTGTGTAGCTGTGGGGACAGACAAACATAAAATACTACAACTAACACGACTAATTTGTTAATATGTGCGCCTTTAAAAATGTCTGTGAATAACTGGACGTTGAACTCTGTCACTCCCAACATGTGCAAATGTGACAAACATCAGGGCACAATTCCGCTTTTTTGCTGCTTAGCAAAGGAAACACGTTAGTCTTCATTTGGCAATCTACTCATCGAGAGGAAGTTGAAAGCATGACTATTGTCTGAAGTAGACTATTAGGTCAATTTTAATCTGCCATGGCTGAAAAAAGAACACCTTTATAAAATATTATCAGATTAAAAAGTTTATCAGAAATGTTACAGAATGAGGCAAAAAGGTTACAAATGTTCAAATCCTTATATTAAAGCAGCCAGACAGATTTCTGATGAAGTTCTCCTTGTGGTCATATAAATAAATAAATGAAAGATGCAATAACAGGAAATAACAACCACTGTGCTTTGTCTAATCATAATCCCACACTTACAGGCGGTTTGAACTTATTTATTAATTTTCTCTTTGATGGAATCAACAAAGTAATTGAAACAAACTGTATTTTACAAAACTGAGACATTATTTACATAAAGAATTTTTTATTGGTTATTTGGCCCATGTCATTATGGACATTTAGTACAAAACGTATAGCATTTCTATAAATATATTCACAATACAAACATGCAAAATTGGTAATTTATTAAGTTAGGCAAGTGTAGCACAGATATACTTGTTATTTTTTGTTGCAATTTCATACAAATAAACATCAGTGTTTCAACATTTATTTTATTCAGAAAAAGAATACTGAGTACACAGGAGTATCTACACAGACCAAACAGACATTGTTCAATTTCACTGCCCAGATGGATTGTTTTCACACATTGTCATCAACACACCTATTTGATCTTTTGACTCAGATAGCACATGAGAGGTGCTGGTCTGATTGCTGGGTCTCTTGGACACATAGGACACCTCCCTGTTGCCCTCACCTGGGGAGGTGCTCGAGATGTGGCGGAAGAGCTTCTGGATGCCCGTGTCACGGAGGGAGCTCCTGAAGGAGCGAGCTGCAAACATGTAGAGGATGGGGTTAACTGTGCTGCTGATAAAGACCATGGCTCCAGTGACAAAAACCATAGTGGTCCTCACGTTTTCCAAATGTTCTGCTACATCCTTGTAGGAGTTTTCAGTTCCCAGGATGATCAGCGAGAGGATATTTCCTATGTGATGAGGTGTCCAGCAAATGCCAAATGCAACCACGACACTGGCGATCAGGATGGTGGACTTGCGTTTGGATTTGAGAGTCATCCGAGTAATCCGGCTGCAGAGGCAGCCATAGCAGACCACAAGGATGGAGAAGGGTATTATGTAGCCAACCAGTGTCTCTAACAAGACACACACCAGTTCCTGGGTCACCGAAGTATATTCACGGTACAGGCAGCTATCCTTACCAGAATCTTTGTCAACAATCTGAGTTGGGATGACAGGTATGCTGAACAAGAGTGCTGCAATCCACAGAACCAGCAGTACTTTATTTAGAGCTTGTTTCCTCTTCCAGTGAGCTGAAGCAAAGGGATATCGCACAGCCACAAAACGCTCCACGCTCATGAGGGTGATGAGGAAAACGCTGCTGTACATACACGTGTTGATCATGAACACCATGGCTTTGCAAGATACCACCCCAAATATCCAGGAGTAGGCCAGAGAGTAGATCCACAGAGGCAGGGTGATGAGGACAAGCAGGTCCGCAACAGCCAGGTGTAGAATAATCACCACTGTGTGAGAGCGCTTTTCAACATGTCTCAGGATGGTCCAGATCACCAGCAGGTTCCCAGGAGCTCCAGCCAGGAAGGACAAACCAAGGATCACACACGCCACCACTGTCCCACCATCAAACTCTGAAGGGGCCATTTCCTCTTGAGAAGACAGCTGGTATGTTTTGTTCATGGTGCAAGTCGATGTGCTGACTGTGGTGTCTGCATGAAAAGAAAAACAGATTACTCTAAGTCATCACTTCCCCTTTAAAGCTGTGTGGAAAGCTCAGGAAAAGAGTTTCCTAACAGGGCTTTTTAAGCAGAGATGACTCATGCATGTGCCAGAAGTCCATAACTTCAGGTTGCAGTTTAGTTTTTAAAAAAAAAGTAGAAATGTGTTTATCAAATACTTTTAAACAAACTGATATGATATTAATTTGTAAATGGATGAATAATTAATAAATGATTGACTTTGCTGTATCAAGGGAACAACTCTGCACACAAAAATTACTTTAGCTTTTGAAACTTTGATAAACGTTTCTGTTTCACCACCCCCGTGGTTCTTAGATTTTTGTTCTGCTTTGTTGCTACATCATAAGCCAAAACAAAAGTTCACATTCAGAAACTGAAAAAAGTTCACACTCCACACCTTACTTTTTTTTTTTGTTAAAACCTCAACGATGAAAACAAGATTAAAATAGAAAATGACTCGATTAAAAGTCACACAAAGCAACAAAAAGCTCTTCTTCTGTTTATTTTCCCTGACTTTTGGTTTTTTTTATGTTACTTTCACTTCATTTTTTTAACTGTCTTACCCACAGTTTGAGAACCACTGTCTTCGACTTAGAGAACCACTAGCACATACAAAAACTAGCAGATTATGAATAATTTCCAAAAACATTCTACCTTTGTCACTAAGGAATTGTAAAAGTAAAATTAAAATGGATTCTATGCTGTGTATTTTTGTTTATTGTTTCATTTGCAGGTCTTTACATGGCATGCAGCATTACTGGAAAAGGTATTACGTAATATTTAAACAACAGAGATATTCCTTAGCTTTCATTTCAGTGAACCAAGAAATATTCATCAGCTTGCTAGGAAAATATGATGAAGGATGATGGCACACGTGGAAATATAATTTACTTACAAACATGTTCAGACACTACACTTTTTCAAAAGACTATACATGGTTGACAGGAATTAATGGCTTTGTTTCAGTATTTGGCAGAAATAGTGAAGAAATTGTGCATTACATTTAAGTTTGATAGAACGATACAGCAGTTAAAATGACATTTGGAGCAGTTTTCAGTAGCACTTTTTATTTTTTCAGGTAGGATAACAAACAGAACACCTTACACAATAATGGACAATATCAAATGTTTAAGAATAAAAAAAAAAACCTTATCACAGACATTTCTCAAAACACAAGTTCAAAGTTATGTATTTTGACTGCATTACGTTAATTAAAAAAATATATACATAAAAAACAATGGAGGAGTACAACACATGGCAATAATATGAGTACATTTTCATTTAATCCTTCGTGATTAATAGTAAATGACAAGTGTCACATTTTACCATCATCACAGTCTTTGACACACACAGTCAGATAGCAGCTCTTCTTGTGTACTTGCTGCCCTCTGGTCTGTCTGCTGTTGCACTGCCAGCTCCCTCACTTTGTTTGTGTTAGTGGCTATTTCCTTAAATAGCCTCACTAGTCGGGACTCTTCCAGACTCCCTTGTAAGTTCTTTGCAAAGAAGGCATATAACACAGGATTTACCGAACTACTGATGAAAACCAGGGCACCAACTATGAAGATGATAGGCTTTGATACACAGTCGTCGTCAGTGTCTGGCCAGCTTAAGATACAAATCAGATCAATAATGTTGATAACGTGGTAAGGCAACCAGCACACTGTGAAAGCAATCACTACAGAATGGATGAGAACCATGGATTTCTCTTTTGAATTGAAACTCATCTTCTTGATCTGTGCGGCTACTAGACAGTAGCAGATACTTAGAACAATGAAAGGAACTATAAAGACCAACAAGGTTTCTAGGCAAAGGATGATAATTGTGTTGGTGTCAGAGTTTAATTCCCTAGTGAAACATTGCACATTTCCATCAGTGTTTTCCAGATTCTGTGTTAAGGCAGGCACTCCTAGAAGGAAAGCAAGCAGCCACAAAAGTACAAGATATATTTTTATATTGCTTTTTGTCTTCCAGCGCATCATCAGAAATGGATGACAGATGGCAAGAAAGCGCTCCACGCTCATAACAGTGATCAAGAAGATGCTGCTGAACATGCACACAGTCACAGTGTACACTAAGGTCTTGCACAATACTGCTCCAAACACCCAAGTGTGAGCTAGAGAGTAGATCCATAGAGGCAGGGTGATGAGAACCAGCAGGTCTGCAACAGCCAAGTGCAGAATGATCACCACAGTATGGGAGCGCTGCTTGACGTGTCTCAGGATGGTCCAGATCACCAGCACGTTCCCAGGAGCTCCAACCAGGAAGGACAAACCGAGGATCACACACGCCACTGCTGTGCTGCCATCAAACTCCTCTGAAAGAGACAACTCAACTGAATGGTTCATGCTGCAATTTGATGTGCTCGAAGTGATTTTGGCATCAAGAGCAAAATAAGTGCTGTAAAAGCAGGATTCATTTCCTCTTATAGTTAAATTGAACAGAAACTAAAATGTTTGCACAACCCTTTAAGGGATATGTGACAACATGTTGTACTTGTCATAATTTCCATAATTCTCTCCCTAACAGGAGGGACACCTTACAGGAAAGGGATATTATTGAGTACTTGAGAATCTTATCACACAGTCATCTACAACAACAAAAACCAGTTCTGTTTTCTTACCCCGTGGTTTTTTAGTTTTAAGTTTACTTTTAGAAAAGTGTCAGTTCCACCTTAACATAGGCGGCAGATTTATCATTTTGTTATGGCACTTCTTTTAAGTTAATGCTGGATGTGTGAACATCATTTTTATCTGACACACTTTAAGTGTAATTTCAAAGTGAGTTTCACAGAAAATCAACACTGATTGTTGCAGTTTGTTTGCTTTTTAGATTTTTGTTCAATCATTGGCTATAGCTAAAATATGGATGTCAAAGCAGATGTGAATAAATGAAATTCTTATCCTCTTTTAGATGATTATATTTGTATTACACTTTTACACAAGCATTACAAGTCTGCCATGTGATAGACAATTATTGGAAAAAGAGTGGCCTAATGTGTAAAAAATGAGGTGAGACTGTCAACTTTAACTTTAGTAAATCAGAAAAGATTTGTCAGCCTTCTAAGAAATGAGGACGAGTGATGAATACACATAAAGTGAACCATACAACAATCTGGGATAAGAGTATGACAACTGATTATAGCTTCATCATAGCATCTGTTAGTGGGTGGGATATATTAGATTAACTAGATTACTTGATCCCCAATGCTGTGCCCTCATAAACTGTCTTTAAACTTCCTTTAAACTATGGAAATGTTACACATCTCTCTTTGTGTATGTATGTCTTCCGAAGGCAATAATTAAAACCTGTAGATACATAATTAGAAAAATATACCCGAAGATGTCACTTATTGCTAAATTTGTAATGACAAAAACTGAGCAAATTTGATAAATAAATTAGTATCAAACTGTAGTTAGTTTGGCAGAAATGTTAAACTCATGAACTGAAACTAATCACACGTGTGAGGTCAAATCATTTCTCATAACAGGTTCACTGTAAACGGAAACAGGGTTTAAAGTCAGGCCATTACACAACTGAAACGTTTTTTTTGACAGTCATAGTGAAGCTAATTCCTCAAGCGGATCATAATAACAGTGTTACAGCACCTGTACTGTGCTGTATTAGTTCTACAACTGATTAGGCAATAATATCATGTTAAACCTGTCTTTCCTTTTGGCCCATGCGGTATAAAACTGTGGTGGAGCTGACATATGTGGACTTGCGTGACTTGGGTGACATATGATAAATTGCCTTTTTAAATTCTGCTGTTCTGGCAAACTAACCACATGCCCTCGTTGCAGGGACTTATTTGGTTACATAATCAATAATCAGTAACCCCACTTCTTTTATCAGATTTATTTGAGGAAACTTTAACTAGTTACACATTTTATGTAAAAGAACATGTATGGTAAATCTCTGAACGATGACATTATCTAAGCGTATTTATCTGTCTTAATATAATTCAGTGAAGAAACAGTGACCTCCAGTGGACTTTGGCCGGTATTGTAAGTATCACCCAAAGTCAGAGAAACTAATTTCTTTTATCGTAACAAATACATTCAAACACTTTAGGTATAAATATTTCCCTTTAATTGTACAACTAAAAGAAATCTCTCTCTTTTTTTAAATTATAAATACTTTTAACGAATTTACTTTACATATGCCAAATGAAATTCCTGAAAACGTTATCACCTTATATTACCTTCAAACAACAACAAAACAGATCTAAGCATATAGCTTCAGTGCCGCAATTTCAAGGAAAACTATACTAAATATAGTTGAATCTTTTTTCTTTGTGGACATTACCGATATTGCACAAAACACCTTGAAAAATGCAAGGTTAATGTGAGTTTAGTGTTTTGATATACACAACGCAGAAAACAAAGGTAAGATAAATGCTTAATTTATCTTCAATTTAGATTTTTTTTTATTGCAGCCACTAAAAACAAATAGATTAAATATGTAGAAAGGTATACAGTTAAGTATGTGAATAAAATATGATAAAACAAATGTCTTAATGCGGTAAGACGAATCTGAAGTCCAATAACTAACAATAAGCATGCATTTAACTTTCAAATAACAACTAAAATATTTAAAAATTTCATACTAAATATATTTTTAAGAAAGAAAACAAGGAAGAAAAACAATAAAAAAAATTACAGGATATTAAGGGGATAAGTATAACATTGTGAAATGTATAAACAATGCAGTGCAATAAAGTGTCTTGTGTACACACTAAAAGCAGTTTGAAAGTACAACAAAATGGTTTCAAATGTAAAAATAATTGTACTATAAACACTAGCCTAGAGGTGAAGTCGTTTCTATTTTTGTTGTTTGCACCAAAAATACACCCAATCCCAAGAAATAACGTCTATTCTTGCGTGTTCTGGAAACTCCCACAGTTTACACACTGATTTATTTTTCCAGAATATAATCAAAAGATTAAAGCAAAATACATAAAAACATTTTTTCGTAATCACGGGGGAACGAGTTATTTGTTAAATTAAGCCGCTGAATGAAGATATTTATTTTGTAATGACCGTCACTTTAAAGTTGTCGTGATGACGCTGTTACGCTGCGCAGACGGGAAGCCTTGCTTCAGCTTTCAGCCAGCTGTCTGCTCGGTGAAATAAACATGACGATGTTGTCAAGTATCGTGTTCCCAGTGCCACAGGACTAAAAGTTCAACACTGACTGCAACTGGGAAAGCCGGATATTGTGTCTATTTAAATCTGTGACAAACTGTAAGTGACCATTTAATACAAGTCTGGCGTTTGATGGTTGTTAACGGTGGCTAGCATTAGCTAACCACTAGGCTAAGTGTTAGGTAACATTAGCCAGATAAGTAACTAATGTTATGTGAGTGAACTCCCGTTTGTTCCGTAAAGGTGTTGCTCGTTGATGATGATAAGCCATTTTTACTTACTTTGACTAATTTAATTAATATTCCACTTAAATAAACACGGTAGTAATTATTGCTAAAAGGAAGTTAGCACTGCTTGGCGGCTGAGTGTGGGTTAGCCAAAAAGCCAAAATGTTTAGTAAACGTATATTCTTTTTTTTTGGGGGGGGGGAGACTAACTTTTTAAAAATTAAAAAGATACATTTGCACTTTGTGTCCAAGTTGTTGTTAAAGCACAAAATTCGTGCGTTGCCGAAATGGCTGCTATCGCATCCTGTCTTTGCTCTATTTGCGTAATATTTACTCTTTGTCCCGTAAAGTTGGCCTAACGTCCCTACTGCCTTCACAGGTTGTTGGACTGACACCATTTTAACAAGCTGAGAAGTTGACTCGTAGCTTGCGATTGCAATGCCTCTGCTGTTTTTGGAGAGGTTTCCTTGGCCCAGCCTGCAGACCTACACAGCACTGAGTGTAGCTTTGCTTGCTGGTAGCATCTTCAGTGCCTACACCACAGTAACTGACCCGGGATTTGGGGCCTTGGAAACGGATGAGGCACAGCCTCCCTCCGAGGTGGAGCGTGAACTTCTAAAGAATGATATTAGTAACACAGAACTGGCAACAACTGTCCTGTGGTATCTTGTCACAGACAGTCTCTTTGTGTGGGTGAGTATTTTAGTGCAATGTGTGAAGTGATTATGAAGTTCACACAAAAACTAATGGTGACCTTATTATCTGCACACCTACAGGTGTTAGTGAACACATTCTGCTGCTCTTTGATGTTAATTGCTAAAATGATTCAGTATGTGGTGTTCGGCCCACTCAGAGTCAGTGAGAAGCAGGTAAGTCTGTGTTGTTACAGCTGTTTTTACTTCTTTCAAACAAGAAGCAAATGGTCACTCATCTCATTTCATGTCTCCTCTTTTGTTTTTTATGGTTCATCAGCACCTGAAAGATAAATTCTGGAACTTCATTTTCTACAAGTTCATCTTCATTTTTGGTGTACTGAACGTCCAGACAGTGGAGGAGGTGGTCATGTGGTGTCTGTGGTTCTCTGCACTCGTTTTTCTCCACTTAATGGTTCAGCTCTGCAAGGATCGCTTTGAATATGTAAGTATATAAAAGTATATTTAAATAAATAAATAAAATCAAATCTAAGCATCACTTTAGACAAATATGACTAGACTCGCGTTGCATTTATTGTCTGTGGTTCTTTCTGTTTTATGCCATTTGACTCCTTGAGCCAAGCTGTTTCCAAAGTTTTGTGTTTGTTTTTTCAATGGAGTATAACTAAACCTTCTGTAACCTAGTGGGGATCGGGGATTTTGGGCACTTGAGGAGACTTAAACCAGTGTAAAAGAAAAGGGGGCCCTGGATCATTAAAAATGCAAGTTTCCTCTTTACATGGGGTGCAGCATAATAATAGTATTATCTTAATTGTGGTGTTCCTTTTTTCATATTTGTTGGAAGCCAGACTTGAGAACAGCTAGATTTATGAGAACTAAGGGCTGAAAAATAAAGGAAATGTACTTAAGCCACTGAGAAAGTCAGTGATTATCTGATCACAGTTAGAGTAAACTACATTAGCTAACAATGTTGTAGTTGTGTAGATTTCATAACGAAAAGAAATGAGCAATATGTTTATTGGATATAGGATTAAATATAGGCTTTAAGAATTTTTTCCCATTATGTATATGCAGCCTAAAAGCCTCTGAAGTACACGTGTCATTTCAGTGGCTTATCGGAGAGTAGTGCATCACTCAGAGTAATTATGGGTGATATACCTTACTTGTTCTTTACCAGATATCTGCACAGCTCTTTGAACTCTTGCTTGTTACGAAAGGAGTCACATGTTGCTTAAGAAATATCAGTTAGAAACAGTATATCAATGTCCTTACCATATTACCCTTCTATTTGGATCATAGGAAATGGTCAGTGTGGCGTTAGGCAAGCTCGTGGATCATGAGCTTAATTGCAAAAGTGTATATATACAGGAGATTTTTTGCTTCTGTGCTTTAAAGGAACACAGTTTTTTGTCGTCTACCCTCATTTTGTTTTGTGTGTGGTGTTTTGTTTTTTTTAAAGATTTAGATTTTCTATATTAGATATTAATTCTGCACTTGAACATGGGTACTGGTGCCAGTCTATTTTGTAATTCAGTATGCATGTAATAAATAGAAATCTGCCACAGCAAAGCTTGGCAAATCTAATTCTCTTCCTGCCTAACTGTTTCTGAATATTAAACACTAAGCCAGATTTATCCACCTGAGCAATACTTCTGTACACTTTCTATAAATGCTTATTTAAAAAGTGTGCTTTCCCTCAGTAGACACAGTGTAACTGTACTCTTTTCAGCTTGGGATCTATTAATAGCTTTTTATACTGGGAGGTTGACTGTGACTACTGTTTCAGTTACTACGCTAACATCTCTATCAGACTGTGTTCTGTATGGTGGGGAAAACAAAATGTCACATTTAAATACCTTATAAGTGCTGACATTTAAAACAAGGTTTAAGTTGTTTTGAATGTCAGTTAGACATTCAAAGTTAGACGTAATGTAATGCTGGCTGCTTTAGTATACTAGAAGGTTATTTCAACCTGCCATATTGTAAACATTTCGTTTTGATGTGATTGTGTTCCTCTTGCTGTTTTTGTTTCCGTCTTTCAACTTTAACTGTAAATTTAGTTGGAGGTAGTCCATTATTTGCCCAGCTGTTTCCCGTTTCTGTCTTCCTGTCACTGTGGTTTCTTGCTTTGGGGTGAAGATAAGAAATGCAGGTTGTAGTGCTGAAGGTTTAGCTTGGAAACCTTGTGGTCTTTGTGATACCGAGCAGCTGGTTTTTATATTTTTCACCTTAGTTGTAATCTATAATAATGTGCAAATCTTTTGTTATTTACACTTTGCTAGAAGTTTAGTTGTGCTAATGCTTAGATATTTAGTGGTTGTGTGAGAGGCGTTTTTATTGATAGAAAAGGGTTGTGTAATATTTAGAAGAGTACATGCAGGATTTTCTCTCAGTATGTCACAGTAAAAATTGAGTGTCTTACTGAGCCTCTTAAAACTCTTGTGAGCATCTAAGTGAAATGTTCCACTGTTTGACAAATCATTGTTATACTTCCTTTGTCTACTCATATCCACTAAATTAATTTATAGCTGGGTCTTTTTGGTAACAAAGTTTCACAAAATGTGTGGGATTCAAAGGTCATCCTGAGGAAATGATCTTTAACTTGCATAAACACTGAAAAGAAATCTTAGGACATAAGAAGACGCACAGCATACTCATTTACCTTTGTCTCCCCCCCC